TTAANATTTTACAACTCAATCTTCATAAAAGATACGTACCTTTAATAAAACTTCTAGCTTGCGTGTCACAAACAAAGCATTTTACTTTAATATTCACTTGATGTCTACCGATTTGTAAGCCATCCCTGCAAATTTCCTTCAATTCTTTAACAAACTGCTTAAAAAATAATTGGAGAGGCGGTTTGCTATCGCCATAATAAATCGCTGCAACCATCGGTTGTATATGAGGCATGTTTTCAACAATGAATGAAATCGGCCAGAATTGATGCAGAGAGCTATTAAATGGTGACATGCCATCGATATTAATTAGTAACGATATTGTCAGTGATTGGGGAATGTCACAAATCGAAAGAGTTGACAATAAATTAGATTTAATTCCATTATACCAAAATTTGCCTACTCCCATTTCGGTAATATGAGTGGTAGCGGGAGTTTTTAAGAGTGTTCTTGCATCTTTCGGTAGTTCTGTCATACCGTGCAATCGCAATATCTTTAACAAATTAGTTACAGAAGCCAGAGTCAATTTATGTGCAATCGCCCAATCTGTCAGTTCAGTTAACAATGACAGTTTATCATTTAATAATTGCTCTTGGTTAACATCAATGTTATCTTGTTCAGGAATCAAGTCAAACTCATCATCAGCTAACACATTGTAGTCATCATTTGTTGAGAGTCCTAGATTTGATGGTTCTGTCGAATTTACTAACCGATCATTGGAACTGGAACTTGCACTACTTATCGCATTATTATCAATGTGTACTTTTTCACTTATATCTTTATTGTTATTGTCTTTATTTTTTCTTAAGTTTCTGTAATAACTTGACGTCAACCAATATGGCCTATATTTTTTTCGGTTCGGCATTTTTTTTATTTTATTGTCTCTACACTATTTGCAGCTACACGCGTATGTGAAATAATCAAAAATGCACTGTGTGAAGTAGAGGCTTTAAAATTGACATACAAGTCAGTTAGACTTTTAGGGCAAGACTGGTCCAATTTACTTTAAAGTCTTTTTCGTTGACCATTTCGACCAAGTACAGACTAATTTATCTATTAGGTAAGGTTTCTTGGTAATTTTGACTTTGAAGTTAACAATGATTATTGATTTATATCAACGAACTTGTTTAAGTAAATAATTACTTAATTTTGATAACTTGAAAGCCTATTCGACTTTGAAGGCATAAATATAGGTCGACATTAGATAATTTATAACTTCAGAAATTACTTATAAGTTAACAGATTGTGAGGGCATTTAATAGGTCGAAATTTGATAATATTTTACCTGTGAAAAATACTTCAAATACAATTGAACATTGAAGGCATTAACAGATCGAAATTAGATAATTTTTTACCTACAAAAAAAACCTCAAATATAATTTTACTTTTAGGACATATTTTAGGTCAAAACTTTGTCATTTTTTACTTAATTAGGGCAATTTTACTTTGGCTTGGTCAAGATGCTCTGAATTGCTGCTTGAGATTCCACATATATATTCTTTATTTTATTAATAACAATTTATACGCAGGTTTACAATTTTTGAAAACATTGAGATTCGAACCTAAGATCCCTACCTAAGAACTACAGACTTATACGCTAACGCTGAGCTAATGATACTTTGTAGAAAGGACTTATTCTTTCCATTATTCCCTTTCCGCTTTTCCTATTGTGTTCTCCGTATAGATTTTCATAGGATCTTCAAGTGAGAAATTAATGATAAAGATGAGTAGAGCATCTTCAATTATTTACTGATAAACTACTGTACTCAGGAATTTTCGATTGAAAACTATTCATTTTCAATATAATACAATAGTATACGCACGACAAAGTCTGTCATTGAAATAATTTTATCTCCCAATTTATCTTGCCTCTTCTTATCTGCCTCTTACAATCTCCATTTCATCAATATTTTTATGATTTTCTTTATTTGCTGCATCTCTATAGTTGTATTTAATAGAGTTCCATCTGAATATTTTACATTCTTGTGATGACGAGCATACCCAAGGTACCACAAAATGCTTGCCATATGGGCGCATGTACCTAATATCCTTGCACCAGATTGACAAGTGCAATAATAACCATTTATTACTTCTTGTTCATCAACTTCATTTTCGGGATCATATAAAATGAAAACTTTTGATGCTTTGTGCGATTTCGATATCTGGAATAAACCCTCACTCTTATGAAATTGTTCTCTTCAAACAAAGTGTCAATTTGCAATTCTTCATCGTCATCTCTCCATAGTTTATCTTGAATATATGAAGGTGAGAGATTGACCTGATAAACGCCTAAAGTCAAATCTTGCAAATCTTTTAATCTTATTTGGAATGCAAATCTATTGGAACTTGGTCATGTAATCTTCGCCATTGAGCATTCCTGTAACGTAAATTGTCAGTGTCTACTCACGCTTGAACTACATGCATTTGCATCGTTCTTTCGTTGCAGCATATTTCTGGCGACCTCAAAAGTTGCATTTTGCATATTAATTGAAGGATGATATTTATTTATTATTGCATCCGCTATACTATAATACTCTCCAATATATTTAACATTCTGAATATTGAACGTATTGTTGAGCATTTTGAAAATTGTTTTCAAATGTCCATTCCTCGCTTCAGCAATCCATCTGACTTTTGTAATAATGCGAGTATCGTTTGCCTGTATGGTTGTTAACTATTGTTGTCCTTTTTCTAATAGAGCAGGCATTTTATAAATGATACCTAAGCGATTCAGAAATGGGATAACATCTCTATACCCCCTATCTACAATAAATATGTCGCCGTTGCGAAACCAGTTCCGCAGATTTTCTACATCCTTCTCATATTCGTTTTCTAGTATGACGATGTCATTGTTGTATGAATCTGAAAAATATGGCCCCAGTATTGATAAAATATATCTATCTGCTGCTAAAACAAGTATTGGCTTTAATAAATGTCTTCCTTTATGGATCGAGTAAGACTGTCGTAGGACACGGAAGTTGCTATAAAAAAATATAAGATAATCCTTGTCTTAACTTGCACAAGAAGGTCATTAAATCTCTAGTCGTAATATTTTTAACACCTACATCAGGAACGGGATCACAGAATGCGAAAAGATCTTCAAACTGTTGCTTATTTAAAGAAAATAAGCATTTGACTTCTTCATCGTTTAAACTATTAGCATTTTCTAATCTGGTCTGGGCTTTTGCCTCTTTACGAAGATGTTCTAGAAAAAGTTGTAATTGTGAGCCTGGGATA